AAATTTGCTTCTTTTTTTTTTGTTAATTTTGTTTAATAAAAATGTTTTACGAGTAGGTATTTATAATTTCAAAACTACAGGGGCAATTCGTATTTGAATTAAACTTTAGGAGGTGTATTTGTAATTTACCCTAGATTATTTAAGTCAACTATCTCTCTCATGTTTTCTTTAATCATCAACCACAACTCTCTCTCTCTCTCTCTCTCTCATGTTTTCTCTAATCATCAGCTAATCATCTCTTTTATATTACATATCACTGGGTCTAAAAAGTGAGTTTAGAAAATGAACTCGTATATTATTTTCCAAAATGAAAACAAGAAAACAAGTTTAATAAGTTACCAAAAAAGGAGGGAGTGGTTGGGAGTGGTTACTGGAGCAAAGAGTGCAGCCAGAGTAGAGTTGCAAATGAATCGAGCTGTTTGCGAGCTGGCTGGGCTCTGATCCGCTCGTTAAGGGTTGGGTTCGGCTCGTTTGCTCGTTTAGTAAACGAGTCAAGCTCGAACTTGAATATTAGGCTCGTTTAGTAAACGAGTCAAGTTCGAGCTCAAATAAGCTCGGCTCATTTATCTTTATTTAAATTATATAATAAATATATTATTTATTTATAGAATAAAAAATATATAAATAATAGCATAAATTCATTATTTATGTATTAAATAATATTTATATATTTAAATAATATAAATAATAAAAAAAATCTTATTGAGTCCAATTAGTAATTAAGCCAAGCTCAAGCGCAATAAACGAACTCAATAAGCAAACGGGCCAAGCTTGGGCTCTTCAAAAATTGGCTTGGCTTGGTTTGTCTCGTTTGTAACCCTAGGTCAGAGGACGGAAGGGTGAGGGAGGTAGGAAGGAATGAAACTTGTTTTGAAAATAAAAACACCTTTTTCTTATTTTCACAAATTCTGAGAAGTGTAGCCAGTTTTTTTTTTCTTTTTAAAGTGAAAACAATTAGCAAACATGTTTTTTTATTCCAATTTCAAAAAATCTAAAGCTAAAGAAAAATAAAAAAAATAAAAATAAAAACCTCCTCTAATGAACCTTAAGATTTACAATACCAATGCAAAAATTTGTGAAGTTACCAACTCCCTAGGATCGAAATTAGGAGGTCAAATAACAAGCTACCGATCTACTAAAAAAACAAAAATGTAACAGAAAAAAGAAAAAAAAAATAGAGAAAAATTTGATCCCAATATAATAGAACAAATCAAGTATCAAGTGCACATGAAAATAAATAAATACATAATAAGCATAATAAATGTTGTAATGATCCAATATGGTTAGAGATTTCTCCTCTGTCGCTATAGATAATTTCCTTCAAAATAGCTACATTTTGTGTCCCCTATCCAAACTTCTAGAATGTTTGCAATTTTCCAATAATTCCCACCTGCTAAGTCTTTGCTCAGGCTCGAAATCAATCCATTAGACATATCAACCAAATAAAGAGTTTTAAGGTTGGTTAGATGTTCAAAGCCAAAGGATAACTCCTCTACCAATTCACATTCACTGATAGTTAACTGTTTAAGATGAGGCATTGAGCCAACCTCCACTTTCACCCATCTCAGTCCTTTTAATCCACCAAGGTATAATCTCACAAGTCTTTGAAATCCACCAGCCCTGAAATACAATTCTTCCCCTTCATATGTCTGATGAAGTTGATGTTCAACCAAATTGGGCTGACCTTGAAGGGATTCTAGTGGATCAACATCCCTTAACTTACTGCATGCTAAAATTACCCTTACCAAGCTGTGCAGTGAAGGTATCCGATGTGGTACCTTACGTAAACTTCCTCCTAGGTAGAGCGTTCGAAGAAGTTGAGGTGGTGAAGAAAGAGGATCTAGATCAATGATTTCGTCTTCTCCTGTTGCACGAACAACCAATGAGCGAAGGTTACTAACTTCTCAAGGGACAAGCATAACACCCTCCCATCTTCATTTCTCAGTTTTTCAATCTATAATTTCCTCAGTTGAGTCAATGTAACGCCCTCAAAATAATACTTAATACCCATCAATCAGAAATGCAGTGATATAAGAAAATCAACACATTTCCATTCATCAGAGTAGTTCTTACAACAGTATTACAAGTTAACCACAAAAGCAAATGCCCTACGGGCTTACAGCTTTCCAAGTCAACACTTGGTTACACAAAAGAAGAGTACTAACTCTATACAAAATAAGCCCTTGGCTTGATATACATGTAATACAAACAAAATAATCAAAAGGAGTCTTCAACTCCCATAACCTTCCAAGTTATGTCCCTGGAGGTGACATGCTACCTGAACCTGAAAATAATGTCCCATATAGGGTGAGCCAACACCCAGTAGAGATATGTTAAACACAATATGAGCAGTAACTAAGATATTAGCAATTGATAAATGTTTAACTCTATAACTCAATTCATAAACCATTTCCATTACATGACCACAATGTCTATGCTTCATTTCATTTTCCATTTCTTATCCAATTTCCAAATTTATACGCGAGGCTCAAAACCTGGCCACACACTCTAAACGAAATAATAATTCATATTAAACGTTTCCCATTTCGCAATAGATAAGCATACAAGCTGTATCAACACCTCATCAGATAAGCATATGGGCTGTATAAACACTTCAATAGATAAGCATATGAGCTGTATAAACACTTCAATAGATAAGCATATGAGCTGTATCAACACTTCAATAGATAAGCATAAGAGTTGTATAAACACTTCAATAGATAAGCATATGAGCTGTATCAACATAACAGAATTTTCGGTCTAAAGGTCCAGCCCCTTTCTTTCAATAGACCTTCTGGTTTAGAGGTCCAGCCCCTTTCTTCCAATAAACCGTTCGGTTTAGAGGTCCAACCCCTTTCTTCCAATAAACCGTTCGGTTTAGAGGTCCAGCCCCTTTCTTCCAATAAACCGTGGAGTACAGCCCCTTTCTCCTCCCACACAAAACAATGTATATACACATAGGTCCTATACACAATCAATCAACACATAACGTTAATGTATTCTATCAGCCATCATACTCTATGACACATCCAATTCATTAGTTTTAGTTTACTTAATCATCATGCATTGTCTACAACAATCATAGCTACCCTCCACCGGTAGCCCAAAGCATTTATTTCTAAACAGATAATAAAAGCCTCAACAGATAAAATATCAATGTTCTCAAAAGTGAGCGATTTATAAATCCAACTCCACCATTTCACAATATAATGAATCTATTTCATTAATTCCAACTCAATTTCTTATAATCACAACCTTTCCCAAATTAATTATACCAATTAATTTATATAACAACTTAGGGTTCTCTACCCCATTTCCCAACATAGACCTAATGGTGTAAATATCAACAACCAACAACAATAATCTCATTTTGAAACCCGATATACATTTTCAAGAATCAAAATGACAAAACCCCCATTTAACATTTTGAAACCCTAAGTTCCAAAGTTACCCAATTTCAACACCTTATCAAAACAACCAAAAATCTATGTCAAAGACCATAGGAGTGAGTAGGAATCCCTACCTCAAAAGATGACGCCCAAAGGAGAAGATGACGAAAATGAAGTTGCTCCAAATCACAAGTTTCCCGGATCAAAAGATAGCCCTCGACGATCAATAACTTTTTTGTAAAGGCCAAAGGTGAGGAAACAACTCCAACTAGATCAATACCTAGAGAGAAGGCAAGGTTCTAGAGAGAGAGGCTCAACAATGGAGTTTTTGGAAAATTAAGAGAGAGAAGAGATGAGAAAAAGTGATTTAAAAATGCCCCACAGCCAACTATTATACGACATTCCCGCTCGAGCGGAAAACACAACGCTCGAGCGTTGAGAACAAAAACTAAGTCCGCTCGAGCGTAAAAAGGCCCGCTCGAGCGCCAAGACACAAGAATAAAGTACATCCGCTCGAGCGAGAAAACCAGTTCGCTGAGCGCAGATCTCCCTCTTCCAGAACTTTCACCAAGACAGTACTACCCGCTCGAGCTCCAACAAACCCGCTCGAGCGCGACCCGCTCGAGCGTAGAAATCACACCTGCAGAAGTTTTGCAGGGACACGAAATACAGAGTGTGTGCAATCCCCGCTCGAGCGCAATAAGGCCTGCTCGAGCGGAACGACCAAAAACTTGGCAACAAGATTTTAGACCAAGGTTCTACCCACCTGCTCGAAACATACCCAACACATCCTAAAACTTAAACAAATGGAATTAAAGGACGACAACAAGATAAATACAACTACCAACTTCACGGAACCGAGTCCGGAATACAACAGAACAGTAAAGGGACAACCGGGATCGCTATAGTCAACTTCGCTACCTTCCCTAGTAAAATGGTCCCATTATCATGCTTTGTTTCAACAGAACAAAGTGTCTATAAGGATGACAAACTTCCTATTTCTGTCGGGGCCTTGAATCCGCAATGGTGTTGAAAGCGAATGGAAGAACAGGATCTTGTATGCAGTGATACAACAAGATATGGTGAAGTCGTTGGAGCTTCAAGATATCATCAGGCAACTCAGTGACATGTGTATCTTTAAGGTCCAATGTTTCCAGGTTTTGGAGCTTTCCAATCGACTTCGGAATTATTTTTACATTGGTTCCCCTCAAACTTAAATACCTGAGTTGAAAAAGTTTCAAAACTTCATTTGGGAATGTCTCCAACAAGGCACCTCTCAATTCCATCACAGTTGGCAACTGTGGACCATCATTTGACGATGCAAGCATGGACAGCGAATGTGTTGCATTGAACATAAGCAAAGAACGAAGTCGGGGGAAACACTTGCTTTGTTGTGTATTTTCCAAATGGTTGTGGATTGATAAGCGCCGCACTTTTTCGGGCCACACTCATTTTTGTTCACCAGCTATTGTTACAATGTTTTGCTCTCCCGACTTCGAAACAATAATTTCATGCCAGAGGTCATGGATGCGATACGTTTTGATCCTTTCATCTGATCTCATCTCTGCCACTTGAACTAAGCTTCTATTGATTAGCTCATTCAGGTAGCCCTCAACACATTTGTACAAAGCCTTCTGCCACCCATAATCGAATCAATCTCCCTTGTTCAATCAGATAATCCTCCGGAAAAACACTTAGATACAGAAAGCAGAACTTTAGATAGTAAGGTAAATCAAGGTAACTGAGTGACAATATTTTCTTCATTCTTAGGAATTTGTCATTTCCTCCTAGTTCTGCACCAAGGCTGCGGTTGATCTTATCCCACTCATCCACATTGCTCTTATCCTTTGTTGATAAAAGACCACTAATTGCCACAATTGCTAGTGGCAATCCCTCACATCTTTTCAAGATAGCTCTTGAAAGCCCTTCCAAATATGAAGGGCAAGATTTTCCATAAATGTTTTCCTGCAAAACAATGTCTAAGACTCTTTGGGAGGCAAGGGCTGAAGGTTATAGACATCCCCATGATATTCTTTACTAGAGCTAAATCTGCATTTCTGGTTGTCAGCACTACTCGACTGCCACAATTTCCAATAGGAAACAAATATCTAAAAGATTGTCAGGCATGAATATCACATACATCATCGAAAACAAGCACATACCTCTTTTGTTGCAGGAAAGTTTTAATTATCCCTTTTAAGCCTTTTAAGCTGTTGGTATTCATGTATTCCACCCCTTGTGGGACAGGTTGCCTGACTTCTTCAAAAAGTTGTTGGATCTTGCCTTTTAGGAGTTCCTTGATGTTGAATGATTCAGAAACAGTGATCCAAGCATGGTTCTGGAAATGCTTCTTCACAACTGCATCATCAAAGACCTTTTTAACTAGTGTTGTTTGGCCCAATCTGCCCATTCCTGATAGGGAAAGCACCTTGAGTCTGGGATCTTCATGCACCAACCACATAATTAGTTGTGATTTGGGTTCATCGATGCCCACAAGCTCAGCTTCATCGAGAAGAAGGGCATCGCCGCGACAATCATGCCATGCTTTGTTAAAACCAGTGGACCTTGAGCTTGAGCCTTGCTCTAACATACCGTATCTGTCATGGTACCTCTGATGTCCTTTCGAAATATTGTTGACTTTGGACTTCATTCTTTGTACTTCAGAAGCAGTTTGGTGACGAGCTATTGAAGTCTCAATAAAGTAAGAAACCTTATGAAGAAAACCGCAAAATCCATGGCCATGACAATGTCCAAGGCGAAGCATGAACAAGTCGAGAACATCTCCAATGTCATAAGCAGCTTCACGCACTTGCTTGACCCATACTTTGAGTTCAGGGTCGTTCTCTTCTATGGCATCGGCAACTCTGAGAAAAGACATCATGCGATCGAATTCATCTCTTATGTATTCGATCTCATTTCGATCTCTGGTCAACAAATGGGCCTCTTGTTGGAGGAAGGGTGCGAAGTTGGCTAGTAGATGGAACACTCTGGTCTCTGCCATTTTGCTATGAACTCTGAACTGAAGAGTTTTGATTAAAAGGTGAATAGTGAGTTTGAAATTTGGGGATTTGTAATGCTCAAAATTCAACTGGGTTTCATCGATCTATTATTGGGATTGGTTCATCTGGATTTGTCTTGCTTGACCAAAGAACAACAAAGAGAAAAGTTAAATGTCTCTTTGGTGTCGACAAGAAAACAAATTGAATAAGAAAAATATACTTATTTTTTATTAAATTTTCTAAACATGAGAGAATTTTACGTATTTTTATTAATGTATAATGCAACACATAATTCATTTTTGACGTTATTTTCTTATTCTTACTAATAAGACAACGAGATCCACACTAATAAATGCATACATGACCCACTTTCTTGTGCGTAGAGATGAAAAAATAGAAAAATATTTATTTATATATTTTTTTATTAATATGAGTCTTGTTGTCACCGGTGACTGAATGAAATTAGTATTGTATCACTCATTCCATAAAGTTATGATTTCAACATTTATCTATTACACATTTGCAAAATGTGAATATTCCAAGTAGTTATAAAGTGGTACAGGAACATGACTGCTTTTATAAAAATGGTATAGGTGCAACATGTCGAGTTGTTTCTAGATCAACTAATAATTTTCTAATTACTTCACTTAAATATTTGATCATGTGAATGCCATAGGTCCAAGATTGTGTCCCACACGTTTTAGCTGGCCAAAAAAACATTTTGGCTAGTCTCACTCTGGGGCGTTATCATGGTTTTACTTGTGTGGATTTTAATAGCATCTCTAATATACGAGGTATCTTTAATATACCATTGTTGATTAGTTAAAATGTCTAGTGTAATTCAATTTCTTTAACTCCAATTCTATGGGTATATGATAGACATTTTGTCTTAATCCCAACTTGTGAGCTAAATGTAACTAATCTTCAAAAGTTAGGTAAAATGTAATTTGATTCTTGCAATTTTTTCCTTTCATTTTTATTGCTTATGTGACATTTCATAAAGTGAGCATTGTTTGGATAAATAGTTAAAATAAATAGCAATGTTAATTTAGAAACATGAAAATGTAAATAGACAATAAAATTTACAATTTATGGTAACCTTTGTGTAGGCAAAACGCCACACAAGGTTGGAAATGCTCTAAATTGTGTATCGTATTAAATTTTGTATGTGAATTTTTCATAAAATAAATTGTATTGATCTAATAATTATAATTAAGGTGTCATTTGTTTTGATGTAAAGTAAGCATTTATATTGTTTGGTTGAATAAAAAATAAGTAAAATATTTTCCAGTAAAAATATTTTTTGTCTTGTCTCTATAATGACTTGTCATTAGAAATTCTGTAAGTCATTTTTAGGAAGTTCACTTTTAGCTGGGCCCTTTCAGCACATTGATATATCTTTAAAGTTGAAAGGGTGGACCTTCATTGGTTTCAACCTAATGCATATAGTAAATTTATTTATTTATTTTATTTTAATAGTCTACCAAATATCAGGAAATAAAATAAATTTTATATTATGTGCTTAAATAAAAATAAATTTACATTGAAAAAGAAAAAAAGTCTAATGCTGTGTTTGGTTGGGGGATTTGGAGAGAGATTTGGAAAGGGAAATGGAAAAGGTAGGTGAAATGTGAATAAATCATGCTTATATTTCACATAGTTTCACACACATTTTCCCTTTCCCTTTCCAAATCCCTCCCCAAATCCTCCAACCAAACACAGCATTAGAGGATTTAAGGTCTCCTAGACCAGAGAGTGCACAAGATAGTGCGAAGAAATACAAGTAAAATGCAAGTACGATGCACAAAACAGCGTGAATGATGATGCAGGATTTAAGGTCTTCTTAGACCAGACGATAAAACAGATATGGTGCAATGGATGTAATAGATGTGATGCAATAGATAATAGATGTGATGCAATAGAGATACATTCTTGTCCAAAAACCAATAATAAACCTTTGTCCAAGGTTTAAAAAAAATTATATATATACATATACTTTTTGTTTGAAGTTTCAATCATAAAGGTTAAAAAATTATTTCAATTATCTAAAAGGTTTTGAAGAAAATCTCTTCATACAAATTCCCAGCTAATAAAATCTTCTTTGCCTAAAGATGCAATAGTAAATGTTTTAAATAATTCTTCAAAATTTTGTTTACAGTAACAACAAAACAAATTTTACATTAAAAAATGAGATATAAAAGGTTGTTAAATATATCAATTTAAATTGATGAAGTTAAAATTAAGAAAACAAAGTAAAATCCCATTACCCTAAGACCTTTTAATAACAAAAATATTTGGAGAAATTACAATAGAAAAAAATAAAATTTTAATTCTATCAATTTAAACTCAATTTTTTAATTTATTTTCAATTTAAACTATTTGTCTTGAATTTTTAATTTTGTCAATTTAAATTTAAATTTTTTATTTATTTTTAATTTAAACCATTTACATAGTTTCTTTAATTAAAATGTGCAGAAAATTTATATTTTAGCCATTAAAATATCTAAAATATCATTTTCTAGTGAATTTAATAATTCAAAAATGATTTATTTATTTATTTATTTTGTTTTTGCCAAACGAAATAGACAAATTATTTAAATTGAAAACAAATCAAATAATTAAAATTTAAATAGATAAAATTAAAATTTCAAAATTTATTTATTTACAATGGTCAAATCCGAATTTTTTTGTTTATTGTAATTTTCCTAAAATATTTTTGATTCACGTTTCAAGTGTTTAAGTGCCCAACTGTTTTGGGCTATGGTGTGATTCACAGATGCTAGTAAAAGGTATTTCATCATGTTGTTTAACCCATCCCACATCCCTCTCTCTCTCTCTCTCTCTCTCTCGTTGTTTAAGCAAATCAATTGAGGACCCTTAGGCTACGACCCTCCATTTTCATTCACATCCAAACCTCTAACGCTATGTTTGGTTCGGAAATTTAGAAAAAAATTTGGAAAGAAAAAAAAAATATAAAATTAGGTGAAATATGATCTGTTTGGTGGAGCTTTCAAAATATAGTTTTACATTCACTTTTAAGTGCGGTGTTTGTTTAATGTTTTCAAAAATTAATTCCATATTCACTTTTGAAAATTCTTTTTAAGGTGGGAAAATTTGAGCTAACCGGACATTCCACCGGTTGATCAGAACAGTGTTCAATTTTTTTTTTGCACTTGTTATTTTTATATTACAAAAAAATATATATTTGTGAATTTTTTTTTTCATTTTTTATGAGTTTTGAATAGAATTTTGAATTGTGTATTTGGTTATGAGTTGTAAGTTTTTATATCAAATATCATATGTCACATCACACAATTCAAACTCAATTTAAATTTTTTTTCAAAACTCATAACCAGATAAATTTTTCACACCCAAATCATAATTTCAAAACTCATAAATTCAAAATATAATTCTATTCTCAAATATAATTCTAAAACTCTACCAAACAATTTTTTATTTCCAAATCTCCCAACCAAATACAATATGAAACCCAATAATGATAACAAGGGAATGATAGTCACAACGAAGCTTCATCGAAATCGAAGAAAGTCTGGATTTTCCATTGTAATCAAATCTACCCTTCAATTTCAGATCCTCAACTCAAAATAAACTTGATTGTTGTGTGGGTCTAAAACCAAGGTCAGGAATTTCACATATTATTATTGCTTTGTTAATTTATGTTGTCCAAACTGTAGATAAAAGATATGCTTATTACACTCAAGTTCTTTGAAAACAATTCAAGCGCCTACGCGGACACCATGAAGCTCCCTTACTGCCAAATTCGACAGAAGTATTGAATGGAACTACCCGCATACAATACGATGGATTCATACCCACATATGAATGAAAGGTTCCCATCTCTTCCCCCAAAATACTTTAGGCCTAAGGGTTGCTAAAAAGTCTTCTGATTTGTTTATCCTGTTTTGGAGTTTCTATACCATAGCTTTGCATAAGACTAGGTGGTTGTATGATTTATTTTTATGTATACAACTTTTCTGATGCAAAGACTTGAAAGATTCCAAAAGATTAGTTGATGTAAGTTTGATATTGTTTGTAAATTTGCTACCACAATATGCACATAGAGTAATGGTAATTTCATTGTTACTACACAGTTTTACTTTTGAAGATCCTAATTCAGAAATCTAGATGATTGAATAAGGTTTGATTTCGATGGAATTACTATTCTTTTTCAAAGATCAATAAATTTTGAAAGGCATCCTACAAGAACTGTCAAGTTAGATCTAATCTATGTAGTTGTTTGATAAGCCATTAGAATTGATTTTCGTGGTTCCGTAAATCGGTTCCACGGTTGACATTGAGGTGCTTCTCCTTCCACTGGTCGTTCTACTACATCATATTGCTCAGTCGGTTGGGGGGAAGGTACTCCTATTGTGTCAATCACTTTACGTCTGTGAAAATCAACTAAAGACTTCTAAACATAGGAAGCTTGTCTTCACGCTTACACCCTGAGCCAAGTCATTATTCCTCCGACTCTAACTACTACATATATTGAGTTTGAACTTTGAATCATATGGTTATGAATCAAAAATTTTAACTAATTGCAAATATTATTCTCATTCGTTGAGGTTTATAAAGTTTGAAAATAAGTCTCCAAATGCTTTTTGTAGCCTTAAAAAATTCAAGAAGTGATAATCCTAAGAAATATTCATTTTGAGATTTGAAAAACTTGTGCCAATTTAAATTAAAATGATTAGAAACTCAATATTTGAAGTAGTGTTTACTAACTTGTGGTTAATTTTTTTTTTTGGTTTTCTATGTACAAAGAACATAAAATATGTTTATTTTTTTATTCTTTTTCTAAAAACTACAATAAATAGCATATTTAGTATACATGTTCATAAGAACATAAAAAATCAAGGGTAAATCACAAACACACCCCTTGAAATTTATTTAAATTATAAATTATTTCTTGTGATTCTAGAAATTACATTATGTCCCCTAAGGTTTTTAATTTCATAACAAATAGGTCATTTTATTAATA